CGTCAGGTCTATGTGAATGAAGTCATGGTGCCTAGTCGTCACGAACAAGGGATGATGGTTTTGTGAACAAGTGTGAAGTGCATGAATGTGGTTGGCAATCAGATACTAGTACAACCGACCTGGCTGTTTGAGTCTGTTCTACAGAATGGCTGACCAATAAGCCGCTCTCCTGCTGTGCGCCCTCTGTGCACGGTGCTTGAACATGTGCCTCACGACTGTTCTGGCATATGCTAGTGCAATAACCAGACAGGGAATCGAGCCTGATGACGGTGGTTGCGTAACCTTCGTGATGGGAGAACAAGTTCCGAAATGTTATAACTGTGGAGAACAGGGGCAACTATCGCGCGGCTGTATCAAACCGAGAAGACCAAGAATGGAGAATGGAGGAAACAGTGCCGCATCGACCTTGGCGAGTAATGCTGAACGGCAGATCGTGCTAGTCACTGGACCTGGACCGATCCAACCAGTCAACAACCAAGGCGATGGCGGCTATGGCTACAGGAATTTCAACAATAATAATAATAACCACAACAATCTAACTTCGAACCGAGAGATGGTGGAGGCTATATTCACTATGCGGGAGTTCTGTTTGACAATGATGCAAGAAAAGAAGGAAGAACGAGAGAGACGAAAAGAAGAGGAGGAGAGAAGGCGCAGAGAAGAAGAACAAAGGCAACTGAGAGAAGAGAGGGAGAGGCTCGAACTTGAGAAGCAACAACGTGCGGACGAACGGGAAGCCCGCTTTGCGCTCATCATCAAGAGCGAGATGGCGAGTAAAGATCAGAGCTACCAAGTAATCATGGAACAACTCGCTAAGCAAAACAAGATGTTACGGGAGGTTGTCGATGGATTGAAAGCTGGAACTGCTAAGAATCCTATAATGATTGAAGACATGAGGAGGGACATTCTGCTACTACGAGAAGCCGAGCTCGAACGCGGACGAAGGAAGCGCTCGAAGGAGGGTAGCGGCACCAAGGAACCCACGGGGCGCCAGAAGCAAGCGGAGGTATCAGAAAGGGAGCTAAAGTTGTCTGAAGAACTACTTGGCATGGAGGAGAGGCACCGCGAGCAAATGAAGGTCATGCGCGAGGAGATTGAATCGCTGAAAGCGGCGCAGCTGACAACCGCTCCTACTCCATCGACCCCGTCCACTTCACGTGCAAGAACGTGTACGCCGATGTCAGGATTACGAACAGTTGAACCAGCTGAACTTTTCGCGAAGACGGCTCCGAACCCTGTGCGAAAAACAACCGGGCAGAAGAGATGCGGGAGAAGTGTTAGTGATGAACCACTCGGGTTCGATAAACTCGTGCCTGGTAAGAAGGTCGTCGTGGCGGAACCGGGAGACGAATGGAGGCAGAAGTTCCTAGAGGACACCAGGCGGTTCCTAAGATCCAAGAACGTCCCGGTGCTGGCGAAGATGTGTAAAGATGAGAAGCTCACTGCGAAGAGTAACAGGAAGGAGGACTTAGTCGAAGCATTGGCGGAAGCAAGAGTGCGTATGGCATATGGCAACCGCGAGCAAGCGCAGCCAGTGAGGATCAGCGAACAAGTCGACCCGAATGACCAGGGAACTGAGATGGTCGAATGATAGTGATGGTCGGAGCTCGTTATGCGCCTGGGAGCGATTCCGGGAACTGAGCCACGATCCGATCAGGATGAACAGACACTGCGACGAGCAAAAGAGTATCGAAAGGGACCTGAGGATCCTGATGGTAGAAATGGCCAAGAGCGGTCGATTGCAATGGCTCAACAAGTTCTTCGAGGTATCTGCTGGATGGAGTACGCATGACGAAGCCTGGTTCGAAAATCCGAAATCGTGCGTGTATGCGTTGGTGTCTCCTCACTTTCGTTGTATATTGGAATGACGACAAGGACGTTGGACGAAAGGTGGAGAGAACACAGAAGAATGACGATGATGAAGGATGCTGGGAGACAGCATAAGGTCTACAGGTGGATACGGAAGAAGGGGTGGCAAGAGTACGTGGCCATGCCCTTGGTCCTCGGCAAGGATGACGAGCTGGGTTGTCTGGAGAAGTTCTATATTAGGAATTTTTGTCCTATACTGAACTCTAAAGGGGAAAAGAGAAAGGTGAGAAGGAATAGACCAGGAAGAAGGGAACGACGTAGAAATAGTATGAGAACTGTGGGAGGCTTGAGCATAGCCCCAGCAGTAGTGTGTACGAGGACGAAGGAGAGTTTTTTGCTTACTAAGGTACTGCAGTCCATTGGTGGTACCCGGGAGCAGGCTGAGCTGTCCGTCACACGAGGGACCAGATGGTGCGAGGGATGGTCTGTCATTAAAAGGCGTTTTGGAATGACTGAGATCAAATGCGATGGAAGGATGATTCTGCTGAGAGACGCTAGGGAACAATTGTTGTACAAAGGAAGATTCACAGGAATAAGGGTGGTTGAAAACTCCACCGACTCCGATTGATACTTCCTGACTGCTTTGCTTCGGATGCCGCAGTATCAGAGGGTGTTGTACATGCGTGGTTTCACGATCGATCGGCTGATTGGATTGTACTACGGAATTAAGGCATTTCAGGAAAAAATATCTCAAGCAATTTTGAGGGGATTCGTATCAAGGACCGTCCCATCGAGGTTTGCGATTAGCATAAGGAAAAGTGTGATTGTTAGAATGGAATATGATGAGGAACTGAGCAAGTGGAGCGTGTCTGCAATCTATAAGAAGACTATTGGGCAGACATGTACGAACAAGAAGGTAGCAGAGATGGCGTGGAGGAGGATGCGGGTGGTCTGGATTAGACACAGGAGTGTGGGTGAGATCTTGTGTAACCACCGGAGATTCGCAAAAAATAAGGAGGTGTTGACCACTTGTGAGTGCAGTAAGCTGGATTTACCAAGGAATACAGATGGACACATCGAATTCCGATTTTCTGAGTGGACTGGAGTGGTAGGGGAGCTGAGAAACTCGAAGAATGTGCCGATACCGATCGAATGTGATGGTGCTCTGGCTCGACAAGTGAACAAGGTTATGGAAACGTTCTTCAATCGTGGGCAGGCCAGGCCGGTTCAGCCGAACGAATTACGGTCATGTTACAAGGCAACGCGAAGCAAACCAGATGGACTGACCGCCTGCCTGGTTACTACGACGCGGAGATTGTTGGAGGGGCTAGTGGTTATGCCTCAGGATCACAACATGGAAGACAATGGTATGCTGCCCGGTAATTTACGCAGATGCTATTCGAGAAGTGTTTGTCGATAACAATGCGTTTGGCAGACAAGAGGAGGACGAGCCCACGATCATCGAGAAATGTAGACAAGTGTACATCGAGGAGGGGTACCACAAAACGATGAAGTGGGACGAGAAGGGATGTCTGGGCCGCGCTTATATCATACCAAAGCACAAAGACACGACGAGATGGAGGCCGATTTGTCCATCCTTCAAAGAGCCGGCCGGAAGAATGAGCAAGGTGGTGGGCAAGGCAATCAACCATATGTTGTGGAGCCTACCGAGGAGCACGAACTTTAATCTGAACAGCACACAACAACTGATTGGGCGCATCCAGACGATTAATAAAAACATGGCCTCGGGATCAGTGAAGAAGGGGTTGCTGGCAGCAAGTTTTGACATCAAGGACATGCTCTCAAAACTGTCGCATGAAGCTATCATTCAAGTTGTTGAGTGGGTGGTAGAAATGTATGAGGACAAGGGATTTGAGAACGTAAGGGTGAAGCTTAGGGGAAAGGGGGCCACATTTGGCAAAGCTGCTGGTGAGATAGGCTGGAAGACTGTGTCTTTTCGTACTTTGATTCGCTTTGTCCAGTTCGATCTCAGACACACGTTCATGGTCGCTGCTGGGAGGATACTGTGACAGAGGGAGGGGATTCCGATGGCGACAGCCCCACGTTGGCATGCTTGCTATGTGCGTACTGTGAGTATCAGTTCCTCTCTTCGTTGGGGGATGACAGACGCCTGATCCTGGGCTGCAGGTTGGTGGATGATGTCTCTATTTTCATCTCCTTCCAGATTAATAGACGAGAGAGTTTACGAAAGGCCATGGAGATTTGGAAGAAGTTCGAAAGTTGTTACAACGAAGAATTAACACTGAAGAAAACGGACGGGGGTACGAAGGCCTGACCTTTCTTAGGGTGTGAACTGCATATTGAGATGTTCCCCCCCGTCGGTACGATGTATGGCCTTGACAGCTAATGGACCGGGGTTGTTGGAAGGGGGAACAATGGAGTTTCAGGGACTACAGGACTACAAGTCCTACTCCGCGGCGCAAACCAAGAAGGTGGTGATTACAGGGTGTCTGCACCGGACTTGGAACCACACGCTGAACAAAATGGAGGCTGGACCAACCCTTCTAACTTTGAAAATGGAGCTACGAAGGAGGGGGTTCCCAGATGAATATTTCGATTCCAGGCTACGACAATTTTCTGAATCGAAGGATGGAGCGTGGGAGGAATGGGTCCAAGTCCTATGCGAAAGTACCRGACCGAGAACCAGACCAGGAACGGACAAACGAGACATGGAGCGGTCAGTAACAGCCGCACCTAGGATTGGCGGACCGAAACAGTCGGAAAAGGGAATCAACCGAGACGGATTCCAAGGCGGTGAAGTGGGCGGGAGGAGTTTTCGGAACGGACCACGTTTTTGCGGGTAGAAACCAAGGCTAGCGTAGGAGCGACATGTGCAGCGCTGGGAACTTGCGCTTGTTTTGGGCGCCGTCTTCGGTGGTGTTCATTTTTCAAAACGTTCGGTTCCGTGAACGAAGAAAAAAAGGCGAGTGGCGGGAAGAAAATGTGAGGGGCGTGTTTTTGAATTTCAATTTTAAGAATTTTTTGAAGTTTCCGGAGCAGTTGGCGGGGTGCGTTGAGAAGAATAAAGGTAGACATGGGAATATTTAAGGGAGACACATGCGTAGGAATTCTTACCTTTCGAAGTAGTAGGCCCTGATAACGCTGTAAATGGCAGCAGTAGAAACGCGTTAAGCGTTCATGCCAGGATGTAGGAGCAGGACGTTGCTTGAGCATCACTTTTCGAGCTTCACTGATAGATCTTTCGAGTACTTTGAAAGGAATTTTTTCTGTTTCTATTTCCTGTGTGAGTATGTCTACTACGTCAGGTCTATTCACGAACAAGGGATGATGGTTTTGTGAACGAGTGTGAAGTGCATGAATGTGGTTATCCTGTGTGAGTGTGTCTACTACGTCAGGTCTATGTGAATGAAGTCATGGTGCCTAGTCGTCACGAACAAGGGATGATGGTTTTGTGAACAAGTGTGAAGTGCATGAATGTGGTTGG